AGCAGCTATTGAACAACGCCATTGAAGAGATCCGATTTACGATGGAAATGAAGAATGAAAAGCAACTGTCTTTCCTGGATGTATTAGTAACCAGAACCATGTAAGCGAGGCTACAAACATCACTTTACAGAAAATGGACACATACGCACCAACTATAACAGCAACCACCCGAAATGCCACAAAGTAAGCTGTGTGCGGACACTATTTGGTAAAGTGCAAACACTGCAGTACCCCGGAGGCAGAGCAACAAGAAGAGAAGCATCTATTTAAATGTTTCCAACTCAAATAATATCTGCGAAGCTTCATCCGAAGGTGTCTGCACCACAAACCAAACAGACAGTCTACACTAACGACGGAGAGAAGCGTTGTTTTGCCTGATATGAAGAACGTACCCGTAATGGCTGCAAAACTATTCAAACAACATCACCTCATAGCAGCACACAAACCAACTGCCAGGTTGAGGAAAAATGTCAAAACCGAAAGCAAAACTGGAAGCTCATGCGCAACGTAATATTGTATATAGACTACGTCGTAGAAATTGCGAAAAGGACTATGTTGGCCAAACAGGTAGAAAATTAGCAACAAAGACACTATGCATCATCGCTAGTCTCAACGCACGTGGACGAAAAAGAACACAGCTTCGATTGGGTCAAAACATAAGTCCTAGTACAAGGCGGAACAAGAAGGGAAAGGGACTTCCTGGAAGCGTGGTTCTCAGCAGAAGACTCAATTAACGTGCATATCGACATTGACCCAGTTTATCAGCCCCTCCGACGAAAAGAACTTAGAGAAATTACGAGACGCTGCTTGAATAGGAACAACCCGAGCGACGACTTCCACCACGGTGAAATAGGTAGAGATCACGGAGCGCAGATCGAAGCCGTCACTTTCGAAAAGTCACCTGCACGCCAATCATGGATCGACAATTTAATCAGCTAGATTACACTCCACCTCTCAACACACTGATAATGCCACCTCGCATAGTAGTGAAACGTTTGCAAACGAATTTCCAAGCTCGACGAACGAATGAGCAATTTAATGGTGTAGGCTCCCGTAATGATAACGCTGAGCGGTTACTTCATTGATGTGAAGACGCACTTATTTCTTGCCAGCACTGACTTCCGACGCAGCACTCGCTGGATGATGACATGGCGCCCACAAGCCTCGAACCAGCCATTGACGCATATCGATCACATCGCGATCAATTATCGCTGGGGAGGCTGCGTCCAAAACTGTCGCTCGATTTGGAGCACATGTGTGGACACTGACCATGCACTTGTAGGTGCTGATCTGGGAGTGCGTTTCGGCGGACACCCTCCACGACCCTGTGAGCACATAAACACTGACAACTGACGAAGTCAGATATTCTGAATACGTATCGAAGTACCCTGGCATTCTGGTTAAGGGCTCACTGAATACAGTTGCAGTTCACGAGTCGAATGATCACCAGACCTTACTGGCAGCAACCAAATTCTCATGTGATAAATCCATTAGCCAATATGACCATTGGGTCTTTACGCAGTCTCTGGTACTTATCGATGCTCGTCGGCACATTCCGGCTGGAAGCGAACACAACGAGCCTTGCAAAGACCTGATGGCAAAACTTCATACTAGCCTGGAGAGACCGTCAATTCTGGTGATTTCGTGATTTAGAGATGGAAGTGCCCTTGCTAACCATCATAAGTTATTCCGGCTGAAACGGGAAACGGGCAACAAGGGACCTAGTGTTAGTGAAACAATTTATGACAAAGGTGGACAGCTTATCCAGAGCTTGTCTAAACGCCTGCAAGGTTAGATTAAGCATTTTTTAAAATTTAATCGTCTGAAATTTTTTGATTCCTCACCGGCTTGTGAACGCCCTGCTCCGTGGGCTGTTCCTTTGGTTCCGCTCTCTCGCTCAGAAGTCCAACGTGAAATCTAACTCTTGAGATTTACTAAAGCTACAGTAACAGATGATCATCATCCAGCACTCTTCGAATTCGGTGGCCGTGCTTTGGTTGCTGCTTTAAATAAATTACTAATGAAACTGTGTGAGCAGGAAACTGTCCCAACCGACTGGTGCCGCTTCGTTATTGTACTGATCTTCAAAGGAGGTTTGCGTTCAGAATGTGGCATCCATTGATGAATCAGTCTGATCCCCATCGCCTCCAAATTGCTTGCCTCTGTACGCCTTCACAGACTGACTGTCGGATGTGAAAGCCAGATTCGTGAGGAGCCAATCGGGTTTCTTCGAGGTCGGGGCCGCTTTGATCACATCTTCACTTTGCATCAGTTGTTGGTGCACCGTCACCTATATTGACGGCCCACCGTTGTCTTGTTCCTCGACATCAAAGGCACCTTATATTCGATGGGTCGATGTTCCCTTTCGGACTGTCTGCTAAGGTAATGTGTGCCAGAGAAATATGTTAAATGTTATCCGAGCAATTTATGCAGGTAGCTCCGGCGCAGTGATTGCTTACGGCAAGCTGTCACCGTCCTTCACTATCTCCAGCAGTGTAAGACAAGGACGCCCGCTGTCACCTTTTTGATTCAACTTTGTTAGTTACGAGGTCATGGAGATCATGTTCACAGGACACAACTTAGGTGTGGCTTTTCTGCCAGGTGAAAGACTGCTTGACTTGTGGAGTATGCTGACGACATCGCCCTCATATTTGTCGGCTCCCAAACGTGCCGAGAGGCACTGGACAGGTTAGCACTGGTTCTCCGCCGTTTTGGATTTTGCTTTGCACCCTCGAAGTGCAAACCTTTTCTCCAAGGTTGGCAGGGACCGCCTCCTGGTCTGACCCTAAGTGGGGATCAGCTAGAACTCGTTGAGATTCAAGTTCCTAGGCAGTTGCATCAGCTCCGTTGGAATTGAAGAGAGGTCACAAACCGTATAGAAAAAGCACGAGACGCTTCTGCTAACCTTCTTCAACTATAGCGCTGGCGCAACATCTCTCGCTCCTTGAAGGGTAGAGTGTACAATGCAGCCGTACGTTTGACCCTGCTGTATGGTTGTGAAACCTGGCTCATTGGATGGACAGAGGCTCATTACGTTCGACCACCAGTGCCTTTGCAGTTTAACTCATATCTGGTGGGAACACCGTGTGGGCAATGAGCATGTTCGACGCCTTGTTTATGTCAATGGAAGTGCGAGTGAACCGCTTAGCCCCGTTATATCACACACTACGCTCCGATGGCTGAGCCACCTGTTGCGCATGTCAGCACACGGACTTTCGCGATGTGTGTGATGTGGATGAAAGAAGAGGACGGGTGACCAAGCGATGACTTGGTCAAGAGGAATGAAGGCCCTTACTTCGAAGTTGGCATCAGTTGGAGCGTCTCGGCTCTATGGTTGGGGTCCGGCAGATGGTGGACAATTTTGGTTGGATACACTTGTTGACATGGCAAGGAGCCGACCTTAGTAGCGTTTGTGTTATGAGTTTCGTTGTCTCTTTCCCAACCTGCCTAGCCTCCTCCTCCAATCACGATCTCATTTATTAGGCATAAGTAACTCTTCTAGCGGCACAATAGTCGGCTGTTAGCTCTCCGGAATGATGTCCATCCGTTACTGGAGACTCTAACGACTGCCACTTTTATGTTCTTTCTTTCTTTTATTGCGGCACCATAGCTAAGGTGTTTTCCACCTTTAACTAATATGTATAATGATGATTACGATGTCATGAGGGCACGGTCGTCTTCGGTGTGTGTCCGTTGGTAGTGCATTGTCAGCACTCTCGCTGAAATTATCTGCTGCAGACAAAGCAAACAGTAGATTCCGGTTCTTGGGACTGGCGTTTGTCTAGGGGAGTTACTATGTAATATCCCATGTGGCAAACCAGTCCAGCCGGAGAGACATAGGAAGCACGGCAGAGTATGCATGTGTACAGAGTGGATGCTGTTTTGGCAGTGATTAGACTGGAGGTACAGTGCAAGTGAGTGGGTGGAGATAGTTCTGGGCAGAATCCATGTTAAAGGTCCTTGACTGAGAAACACGAGTGACCATGGAGCTCTGGCAGCATGCATGAAAAAAATGCGATGCTGATGGATATAAGTGAATAGCAACTTCGTATTCCCTGTTAAAAATCCTATAATGTGCTAAATGAAAGCAACTATAGAGTTTAGCAAACATACAAGACGACAGTGGCAGGGGTGTGCAGTTAAATAAGAGAACAGCAAATAAAAAAGAACGAGGAATGCTTAAAAGCATCGGAGCCATAAATTCAACTAAGCAATTCAAACAAGTTAGAGTGAAAGACGTGACAGCAGATAATTAATTGCAGCAAATATCTTTGGTAAATAAAAGGTGTTTCCACGGGTTAGTAGAGACCAATAGGTCAATAATTTCCCCGTTAAAAGGCAACTACTTGTCTGCGTATTGTAATATAATCATTTTGAAACACAGAAACGGAACCCTAGGCAAAAGAAGCGGGCAAAGTTGGTAATAAGTCATACAGCTGTCAAGCAACCGGCAAAACTAATAGATGCAATCCACACAAGGCTTAAAAATGACCCCTCCAATCATTATAGTCATAACTCAAAGGCAGGTATGCTTCTCCAGTTGTTTGGCTATATCTAAAACAGCAGCCCGGCGTTGTCATGCTGTGGTCCACAGCTTGGTCGGTTCTGAAAGGTAGTGATAAAATGCGTTGAACATGTGTCTCTTCTAAGTGGTTAGACAGTTTTAGAGTGGAGTCGGTGTTAGAATGTGGTCAGGGTTGCATTTTTTCTGCGACAGAACTTTGCTCTTTTTCTTGCAGACCCGTGTCATGCAAAGTAATACAGTATGATGAATGGACACCATGTGTTTGACACTATTCGGAATAAAGCAAACACGAAACCTTGGAGGCACTGCACATACTTGAATGGATTTTTAATCAGAATGATTGGTTTGTGTGCAAACCTGGAGGGCCTAAAGGGCGTTGTTTATTTCCCTCACATAGGTGACACAACTGTTCTGTCGTTTAAACAAGGTCATGGTGTCATTTTTTATCTGTGCTTGCTGTGTACATTTTCTCACAATGCCAACTTTCATCCATACGTGTTTGGGTAAAGATTTCCACACACTTATCTCCCGTTGCGAAGGTGAACTGCGCTCAAGTAGCTTGGGAGCTGAACTAAGTGCCTGAAAAGCGTTAGAATCAGTCTTGCTCATTCGTCCCGAATCAGCGGCTGTTGGATGTACTCTCCGCTGCTTCTACTCCCTGAGGTGATTGCCAAAGTACCTAGGTGAACTCACGATAGTAATTGGAACTCTACCTATACCTTCGATTAAGTACTCTACAATTAATGCAGATAGTCAGTGCTTGTGAACAACCGATGTTCGGTGTGACACCAGTTTCTTCGTATTCTAGCGTTCTGATCTGATTGGTCCGGAGATCGTTTATCTAACATGCTATTGTTCACCTTTGTATTACCAACCCGCGTGGCATTAATGTAATTCTCTGCCCAAAGAGCCCAATAATTATCTCCCCTATTTATGACGCAGTTTTTCACATCGATACATTCCATTCTTACTTGTTCTCTTTTCTTTCCATGGACGCTACCGTATGTCCAAAACTGACCACTGAGTTACTCAAATGAGGTAGACAGATTGGCGCCCGATACAAGCATAGGATGGAGACCTGATACGAATCACTGCGAAGTTATAATTCATTTTTATTTTTTGCTTTCTACCTCCGTAGAACAAACCAGAAACCTCGCAGGCCACACTGCTGATCCACTCTTTATACAAAAGATTGCATTCATCAGCTTGAATCATCATGCGGCAATTGAGCGATTGGATACAATTCGGGCGTTTCATTTTGGCTCTCACTTGTTGGTCGAAGTAAGTTGACCACTTTCGGGAAGGATGTTCATGATTGTTGCTTATCTTCCAATGCCGTTACTTTAGAGCAGCACATACTTATCCTTCCTTTCTTCTCCTAGGGACGCGTCTAGTGGGCTGACACAGTCAACCAACTACCAATCACAACTTGTCTCTGCATCAGTTGACTTCGTGTTAGATACCATTCCCATGCCACATTGCGATAATTTGTATCGTCAACATGATATACTGTGACTCATCCGGACAAAAAACCTAGGGAATCGATAAGGTCAAGCATTGCCCGCTCTGAACACTGCACCGTTTTTGTGCTGGTTGGCACTCGTTACGTGATGGCAGAACGGCCACTCCAGCGTGGACCGCACAGCCTGTCGACCGAAGCCTTTACACCTCTGTCACAAAGCCACAGACATTGGTAAATGGCTCACTGCGGCTTCAAAATAAATTTCACAAACGATGTAGGGTACTGTTACTTTATTGGGGTACGGTAATTGACCCGTTTTGACACTGACGATCGTTTAAGTTTGCCTACTACCATGACTGTGTGGCTAGATGATTCCCGTTTAACATGTATCGCAAGTGTGGCCTTTCACTTTTGAATAGCGATTGTATGCGGTTTATCACCAGCCTTATAGATGTGACGTCCATCTCACAACCGATTGCGATGTAAGTAGCTGACCTTCTAAACTTCTCTGCCCGCGCTAGAGTTCACTCCTACCAAAACCATCGCAGCTCATTTAAACGAAACATTGGTAGCTTGGTTAGGTGTGCAGTTGTATCGTCGTTCACTGAGCTGTGAAGTTGGGTTGCAACCTTTTCGAATCCAGTCGATGTGACGTCATCAGTGCTAGATGTTTTGTAGCGGAAGTTGATGGAACTTAAATCTGGATTTGTGATTACTCTGAAGTACAATTCATGTTTCCACGAACGAGCTGAAGCGTTCAGGTCGGTCATCAGGCTAATTTACTCATTTTTATAATTTCTCTTTACTGATTGGAGAATGATAAGGGTGGGGATCTTGGACTGTTTTTCAGTCCATGACTTGGACTTCACCAATGCATGCTCCTCACATTGCGAGCTCGGTGCTCTGTTCACCAGCACAAGTGAGGAAACACATACGCCACTCTTGAATCAAGAGTGAAACGGGTTGAATACCTTGTTGTTCCTCCGCCAGTCATCAACTGTTGTCAATTTGCTGCACACCTCAACTTTCCTCCCGCTTACTTTGAACTTTTATCGCTGACAGTTGAGGGACACTTGCATTGAGCTTAGGTTTTGTGTCCGCACAAACTAAACCATTTTCGGGCTGTTTTTCTCTTCCTTACTTTGTGTGGGGTTGTGTCAGCTAGGCTATTGCTTCTTTTCTAATTACATGGTTTAAGTCTACTTATCCATATACACATCGTATCTGACTGATTACGACTGCTCTGGAACTTGGGATTATACCCCATGACAGTTCCAGTGTTGCGGAATTGGCTACCACAGCTCCGGTTGGTTACCGTCGAGTATTCAAATAAGGGCCCGTATTAGGTGGGTAATTGGTTCTGCTAATGGGCCCTAGTGGATGATGGAGATGTGATGCTGGAATGGTTTTTCTAAAACTTCCACTCGATTCAACTTCTCGCAAGCTGTCACTCAGTAATTAGACTAGCCTGCTGAAGTGTACTTGCATCTAGGGGTACTCTGAAAGGACTCATCCCCGAATGACTTTTCTTTGATTCTTTTCAAAGATGGTAAGTCTATTGAAACAAATAAATGAAAAAAACAGTGGGATGATGAGTACTGCGAGATGATCGAATTTGATGCTTTCTACTCACTTGCGACCTGTTAACCTATTTTACGTTCACGTGAATACATTACTCATTTTGAAATCCGTTTGAAGGGTACTTAGGTAGAGATAAGCTGACAGATCATCGAGTTGGGGACTTTAGAGGGACGATTGATAGCTTTGGTACACACAGAGTAGTGTGTTGGTGGTTAAGACCCAGAGTGCCGACAAAAATAAGTACTCTAGGGTTTCATTTTGCTTGGCAACCTTAAACTCCGTGTCGTGATCAATCTGATAACCCATCCGTAGTAAGCGTCTAGTGATAGACAAAGTCGACAGCTTTCGACTTATGCGTGCCCAGTGCCCTTTCTCCATGCTACTTGTTATCACCGGGCTCCACCTGTCAGTCAATAGGTCTGCTTACAGATCCAATCACTGTCCTGGCTCTGTCGATGCAGAATTCGGTGACCCTTGAACTGGTCGCATCATCCCTAGGATGAATTCTATCGTGTTCCGTTATAGCGTTTAATCAATCTGCTGGGTGAAATCAACCACATCATCGTTCTGTTCAAGTGGTCCTACTTTACTAGACCTTCACTGGAGGCGGTACATTGCAAATTTTACTGCATTCCGATTCACTCCCGATATTCATGGTGCTGTGTAACTTGGACTGCTACGTTAAAGCATCGATGTCAAGAAATCTGTAAAATCGACTTCGATTCGCATAGTGTATCTAACAACAACCTGATGGGAATGGTTCTGGATGGATCCGTTCTTTGTGCATTATTCACCTATTGCTCAAGCATAGCGCCGCTTTAGTCTTACTGTCTGGCTAAGAAAACGAAATTGAGTTAAGAAAAAGCGCAAGTCCTTACTTTTTGTTTTCACTAGGGTTGCATAGAATATGTCGCTTTTAAATCGCGTTGTTTCACATCCCGCGGTTGTGCACGTTTTCTGCTATGCGGATTACTAGGACTATTTTGGGACGTGAATTTCGGCTTAGCGATGATTACCAGGTATCGCAAACCATTTATGTTTTCTTGGTACTCAAATCTCGCTATCTGCCGTGCTTCCTCTGCCTCACGTTGCTGAACAACGATACACGGAGACTTGTGCCAACTGCCTCAAATTTCATTCGGTGGAAGCAACATCTAGGATGATTTTTCATCAATCAGATTTTGTGAAATGTAAATGATTCGGCGCGGGAGTGTGTTCAAGCGAGCTAGTTAGGCGAAAAATATGAGAGGGTTGTGTGGGATTTCTGTTTTCCGAAGGGTTTGTTGCAGTCGAACTCAGCCACCACAAATCCGGAAAAGCGCTAGGCGACTTTTTCATCCTTATGGTACTGGTCAGTAGAGAATATCCGGATACTGCTGCATCTGAACCAAAAAGGATTTCCTTACGTGTCAGCGATTCAAACCACTGAACCACAGTTGACGGCGCTGCATCGTTAGGACTGTTTACTGGCTGTGATACAGAGCTGCTCATCTTCCAATTTTATTCCTTACAATGATCGTACAGAGGATAGGACTGGCCTCCATATCCACGACTACCTTTGAAAACCGCCACCATTCAAAGTGGCCTGTAAGCTGCTAAGGCGATTACTGATTGTCATAGACTGTCAAGAGGTTTGTTGGGTTTTAACAAGGTTGTTGGCAGCCCAACTCTTTGGGTTTATCAACACACATCAAGGAATGCGTTAGATGACTGTTTCGTCCCATTAGGACTCACGAGTAGCGCGTCTCACAACTACTGCACTGACGAGGCCCAACAAATTGTGGTCAGCATGGTGCACCTGAATTAGCCGCCTGGCACCACTTGCTTCCGTGATAAATTTTCTGAACATGCTCTTATTTTTCCCCGGATACACGAACTTTTGGGGAAATCCTGATGATCATGTCGATGCACTATTCACAAGTTTCTGACAGCCCCACCAACGAATATGTGTAGTTGGATGTCAAAAATTGTCTTCATGATATGCAGTGTCCATTGTCATTTTAGAAACTTCCCATGTCACAGTGCTTTCGCTCAAGCTCTCGTCGTCTTGTCTCTGTTCTTGACAGACGCAATCTGCCTCTTGTTAGACCAGCCGGTTATCAGTTTTACTTTCATTCCGAACACTAGCCCCATTGGTCTTGCTGGTGGTGTTCCTCACAGCTGCTCACGTCAAGGTATTATCATTCTACCTATATCGATTGAGATACAAGTTTACTCAGTGGTGGCGACTCCATTTCGTCTGAAACTTGATGGAAGAATGGACCTGACAAGTTAACCAATCACGAAAGTCATAGTTCCCACGGATCACTTCTAGTCGCCATTAGAAGTGAAGTTTGACTACTCCACTGGCTGGCTTCTGACATTTTAAGCACTTTTCTTACATTAAACACACTGCTCCTTTATTTGCCTTCAGGGGGTTCGGAACAGCCTATCAGGATTCAATGATCTATAGTCATAACTTAAACCCCAACTGACCTCATTATTCGTTAGTGTCAGCGATGCTAGGTTTTAGCTAACGGAAGTCGATACATTATGACGGTTTCCTCAACATGACAAATCCCCGAACGCCTCATGCTCATCAGTCCATACAACTTTTGGCTACCCCCTACCGGAATGATCTGTTGCTTGTTAAATCTCCAGTTTTATCACGATATGACCGCGTTTGTTTTTACAAGTCCGACATTCCCACCTGAAACCTTTCAGGTGGATATTGTCCTCCCAATGTCCATGCCACTGAAGGAAGCGCACGATATTGGCGAGGGTCTACAGAACAAGCTGGAGAATGTGGATGGAGTCGAACGTGCCTTTGTCCATTTGGATTATGAATTTTCTCATCATCCGGAGAGCGAGCACAAATACGCCTAGTCCAGGAGCTGTACACGCCACATTGTTGCTGTTTCCGTTCTATTTTCTCGTCTTCTTCTATTTGTGCAGCAAGTTTCCATTCGTCTTTCGAGTAAACATCTCTTAATTTTTGTCATTATTGGTGCTCAACACCTTTCCCCCATCCCCAGCAGATATGGCCCAAATAATCGTAAACCATTCACCCAGATTACACTGAGATGGTTACGATGTTTTGCGCTATCCGTTCAAAAAAGAAACTTGCGTACATCGTTTACCACTGTGTATTTTTTCGATTTTTTATTTCTTCTTGGTCGACCGTATTTTCGCTCATTTTGCAGATCGAAGTTTTGTGAATTATCCTTCCTCAGTTTACATTACAAATGGTTTTCCATTGCTTGGTTCGGCTGTATCTTCGTTTTACAGCTTACTGTGATGACAGGTAGAAGCGGTTCTCGACCCTTTTCATCCTTTTTCGCCTTTGTGAATAAGAAGGGTATCGTTTCATCGTACTTCGTCGACCCCTCGAAAAGATTATGGCACACATCTTTCAGTGCATTTGTATAGAAAAACTGTTGAGTTAACACGGTTTTATTTCCATACACTGCTGTCAAGTTTTCGCTGTCCACCCAGTCATTTCTTTCATCTTCATATCAAGCAACTATGCGCAAACAATCGGTTCGCCAGCATGAGGAAACAGATGTAAGTAGTACTAGTAGTAATCTCAGCAGTCTAGCAACTAGACACAGATGTAAAGTTGCGGAACGAAGTCCCGCACCATCTTCTAATTGTAATTAGATGACAGTCTTCTTTTGGGGTTATAGAATCCAGGTTGTAGAACTTATAGTCGCCACTATCTTCCTGAATAACTATGTATATTAACCTCCTGTCGAGGCTGACCACGACAGCCACAACTGTTCTCGTTTAGTTTCCCCCGGTAATTTTAGCACACGTTTCGCTTCCTCCACTGTTGTCTACCGAGTTTTCAGTGAACTTGGCAAATCATTGGAAGAGAGGCTTACCATATTCATTCTGCAGATGACAGGCAACTCTCAACTAAACAGCTGCCAGCAAAATGTTATATGTGAAAGACTTATTTCCAGCTTCATTCAAATTCACTTAACTTCCGAACTACACACCAGGTCGAATGGCGTTTCAGACTATTCAATGTATTTAAATTATGTAAATTTGTGCAGATGTTATTCTTGAACTCTGTGATCAACACCTGTGTGCAATCACATGGCACTGCAGTCAAATGTTTTCCTGTGCTATCTCAAGTGGAGCCGTTGTGCTGAGCTAAGAAGTTATTTGTGATCAGCTGACACGGTGTGGTCAGTTCGCGGTTGGCCAATAAGACCATTTTCTTTTCAGGTTGTTTACCTTGGCTGCATGTGCCAAGAAATTTTTGTAGCTGGTTACATCGACCACTTCTTGTACAAAAATATTGACGATGTTGTGTTGGTAGTGTGGAGCGTATTTGTTCAAAAACTCCCATTGAATGAGACACGCACCTCCATCTATCTGCTTGCACTTGTGTGACTTATGTTGCATTGGGACTTTGTTTGTGCCATTCTCCACCATCTGCTCTGACTGAATCAGCCCTGAGGTTTGTGTTCATTAGAATTCTTTGGTCCTAATCCGTGCTGTTGTTTGGGACGACGCATGAGGAGATTTGTGGGTAGTTCCGGAATCCTTGCAAGGCTACTTGCCATCATCGCTAGTTGCACGATTAATACTTTACCAGCTGCTCTCTCTCATGTAGTCGTGAGTAGTAATCAAATAAGAAAAAAAACAAAGGTTGCTCGGTTTGGATCAGTCACTCACATTTCATCAACATCTCAAACACCACTGAGGCACAGTCTCCAGTAAAACACTTGATATTTCTCAGTTGATTTGACTTTGTGCCCTTAACCCACGCCAAACATTGGTCTCATCCCAAGATACAACTGGAACCAATGGCCTGTAGACTGCCAACCCTCGATTTAGTCCCAAACTACTCTGCCAATGCATTGACAAATGCTTGGAATCTATCGATAACTCGCTTTCAGAAAGGTTTGAAAACAACAGGTTGGTATATATTGTCGGCAATGTTTCGCTTTCGACACAAATGCTTCGTCTGGCCGAGTGAACCAGTCGATTAATCACGAAACTTGTTCGAACCTTTCAGCATTTGTTAGTATGCACAAAGTAACGTGTCTGCTCGTGAGATATCGTGGGTGTGTAGGTTTGCACGCATCAGCACACCGACAATAGTTAGAACTGTTTTCAAATCCTAACACACTGTAGTGGCGGTCACTGAAGGAAGCATCATTTAAAACCACTTTTGGATTCAAAATATAGATTGAGCTCGTTCGCACCGATGACTTGAACTGCATTCTTTTTCTTGACTGGCTGCGATTTTTGAAGTCGTTATGTTTCTCGTCACGCTGATAGTCATTCCGCATTCCTAATCCGTTACCTACGTGCCTTCCGGAGGTTTCAGTAGTCCATTCAACTTCCGAAGATTCAGGCTAGACGATACCGAACCTAGACAACCTTGCTCGAGTTCAACTCTGGTGTGAATACGACTAAGCTAGAGTATTATAGCGCTGTGCAATCGTGCAAGCGATCCATAATAAATGATGCGGAGAAAAGTGGGAGCTATGTGCTCACTTGGAGTCGTTGGTTCGACGAGATCTATAGCACAACTAAGATCAAGCCCACAGTTTGTAAACCAAATGGGATTAAGTCGTTATCGTACGTGACCCATACCTAAAACATTGTTCTGAGTTTCCACAATTTTTCCAGTGGCACTCGGTTGAATGCGTTTGGCTATCAGATGCGAACAAGGCAACTGGCTAGTACTAACTCTTATGCTTTTCCCAGGATTAGGGTAGCCAATTGAAACGGGCCAATCTGACACAAGCTGTGAGATCCAGTGCCGTTGTTGATCCACGAGCAATTGGCAAGTGTGGTAGTCAACCGCCCGCAAGTTGCTTCTTGCCTGTTCCACTGCAGCTTGCTGCGTTAATTGTTTGCTTCGTTGAGCCACTTACCCTTCATTTGGGAGAGATTGGATACCACCCAAAAAGTAACGCGTGCTTGCTCCTAGTTGCTTTGGTCTCATGCGTGCACAACATCGATGGCGAACAATGCAAGTGCGAAAGTGCAACATCCCGCGCTGCACAGTCACTAGGGCTCCGTTGCAGAGCAAGCAATATTTAACCTTATGGAATGAGATGTCGCCGACATGAAGTGTCCCATTTGCGCTTAGAATGGTTTCAAGATAGAAGTACGCGAGCCTAAATTGTTCGTACTGTAGCAGATTTGGTCACATAGCGTTGAAATTAAATTAGGGGTAAGATCACTTTGACATAATGATGTCTGGAAGTTCGACGTGCTTTTATTAATCCTAGGGTGGTTAATAGTAGCAAATCAGCACAAGTAAGATAATAATGATGGTTTTTGAACAAGTGTGGAGACGGAATTGATATATAACGTATAAGGAGTTCATCAATGATGGTGTGGGTGTTTTTTGAGTGAACAATGCAGTTTAATTACCTCCTAGCATCAAGGTTAATCTCGTTGTTGTTTTGCATCGCTTAGTGTGTGTGATTATTATTACCCAAAGCGCAGACGCAATGGTGCATAAATCCCAAATAACCTACTTAATGTCTATTGATGAATCAACTACAAGCTGTTATAGATCCTAATTGTGCTGGAATTGTGAGCGTTCACAAATTATGTGGTGGATCAATGATGCCACGTGTTGTCGCTATGCCAGGTTGAGCGACTGCTTTAACCAGTCGTTACCAACATTTTTGAGACTATTACCCATAAAGCGGGTTCAGTGTAAACAAATCTCACAAAATGGTAATTAAAACCCGAATTGTCGGTTGAAAATTCTTTCCATTTAATTCCCGTCATCCAAACCAAGAGGCATCTAATCTTCAGCAATTTTTCTGATTACATCATAAGGTAATGAAACGGTTGATATTGCTTAGTTTTAACAATTTCTAACGTTTGGTGCTGTTTCGGCCAACGCACATCGTAACACGTGCCCAGTGAAATCACTTCCTTGCTTTTGTTTTCATTGTAAATTGTGGCGAATAGGGTCAGTATTCTCAGTGTTTTACCGATAATGATGGACACTTGCCACGAATCTGCCAAAAATGTTTCTGATTTTATGTTTTCGACGTCAATTCTATTGTATTCCTGAAGTCCAGGGAATTATGCTTTGGTTTCCGTTTCAGTCTATATATGTATATACACATTTTATTTACATATAGATAATTGGTGGCTGTTTGTGAGAAGTGTAAAGTTCGTAGAAAGTAGAAGTCACGATTAAAATTCACGCACAATAGATAATTATTTTATAAATCATTCCTTACGATATTACATTTTCCGTTTTACCTTATCTGATAGAGGTGACTGTAACGTAGGTGACATTTTCGTATGCATTTGAAAATCAACGCAGTGCTATACCGCTCGTAAAATCCTATTTTAATCATTTTGGTGGTTATAGCCCCTAGACTGCGAATCACTGGCTTAAAGCATCCGTGGTACTGTTTCCTTTTTCAGCAGCCATGCAAATGAGTGTCATGCTTTTGCTCCGCAGTGAGTTCAAGGACGAATAAGGAAATGCTGCCACTGGGGTCCATCACGTGATTTCAGATAGCATTGATTTCTAACGCGCCATTACGCTACCACCTCCATCATATGTTGCTCGATTCATCGTCCATGACCTTATATGTCCTTCCATGCGGTAATTCACTAGGCTGTAGATAATACGATTGAGGACTGCATATCATTGCTATATTGAGTTCGACGATTTTAACGAGCGTTCAATAGTCAGCATTGCTTATCCCATATTAATTAACATCCTGCATTAACTGTTATTCCTATTTTATTATGAAGACGAATCAGTGAATATTACTAATTACGCGTGTCACACTACAGCAATTCCCTCGTTCTCAGTTCACTTTTCTACTTGCCATGGAGCGTACCGTATCCATTGCACTTTAAGTATAGCCCTTGACTTGTTACCATGGTTTAGTATACTTCACCAATCCACTGTTTGTGTTCCTGGATGCTTTGGGTGTGGCGTCTGCAAGTTCGGCTGATTCCCAGTGTTGAAACAAAATCCCTCCATATCCTCGAGGTTTGGTGTTGGAAGTGTAATTGTGAAATGTTTTTCAGCCCAACCCACTTCATGGACAATTGCCATATCACTGCTTCCACGGCGTTATGCTTTTGGGTCGAAAGATTTGGTTGAGGACTCTGCTGCCTGCATTGGCCTCCTGATCCATAATAGTGGACCATCAGGCGTAAGTTCGAGTACATAGGCAAAATACAGCCAATGGGGACACACAATTAAAGAACGATTATGCACACGTGTGGCATAAACGCGCTTTCAGTTATCACCCGTTAGATGCTGACTGGTTATTCCAATTAGCCAACCTCACTGGCTTTAATGTTATGAGTTGCCTTGTCCCTTCACTTCCCGCTTATCTTTCCAGTCTAACATTGATCTCACACCGCATGTGTAATATACAGCTTAGCGTTGTATTACTTGCGTTTTAATTTTTTATTCTCTAATGTTTAGTATACTTTGTATATCTTA